AACTTGTGGGGACATTAAGATGAAAGTCTGATAACTGCGAATCATTTTCATGAAGCAAAAATGAATTTCAACGAAGAAACACGGGGTGGCTGTATCATTTTTGAACATAGGAAAATCGACCTCTTCTGAAAAAATAGCACAAAATTTTTTAGTGTTTTCGACATGGATTTTTGTGTTGATATCTGAACTCGCCATGAAATTTGTCACATTTTCTATCTGGACAGTTTTTCAGAAACTCTATGAACTTTAAGTTTTCGAACAAATTTTAGGTGGCTGTATCATTATTGAACGCAGTGTATATTTCCATGACTTCGTTTTGGATGTCAATTTCACTTGGCAACCACTGAACGCATCGCTAAGGGAATTTCTTGCTCTTTGAAGCTCAGTGATTCACAATGTCACTTGAGAATTGAAAACATTGGGTATCCAACAGGCTGGAGAGCTTCGCTTATCCTGACACTATTCAATTTGAGACCACCGAGATCTGCTCCCACTGCAGTGCTATCGTACCAATTGATGAAGACTTGAATGAATTTGCTGAACAGTTCGCTTTATAGTTTTTGTAGTAGTTCATTTCCTAACTCCCTAACTCATTTGGAATTGTGCAGTTGACGATAAGCTGTGTAAGTGGAACAGTCAGTCAAATCCCCTTCATTACGCGACTCCAGGTAGCTGTTGGGTTTTTCGTTAGCCAATCTGCAAAGACATGGGATTCTCGGTTCGAATTTCAACTCAAACTACTATGCTCGAACACAGAGTCAACAATAACCTTTATTATGGGAACACCCTTCTAAACTTATGCAGTAGTACGTGTATTACATGAAATTTTTCAGAAAGTATAATGCATAGTCCATACCAACCGACAATGCCTGAAAAGTCTTAGCTTTGACTGCCGTTAACAGAATTTATTCTATTACGCTAATGCATAGTGAAATGAAAACATACAGGAGAAGAGTCTATAACACCTTTTAATGGATCAACCGCAATGGGGAAAAAGAAAGTGTCTGTATACTGAAAAGCAATCTATTAGCAAAAAAAATGTGATTAGCAAATTTCGTTTTTGATTTGAGGCGAAAACAAGAATTTAAATTCTCTCAAATTGTCACATTAAACATGAAATCAAGCAAAAAATGTCCGATTTGTTCAGGAAAACTGGAAACTTGGTTGACAACGTATGTAGGATCTTTCCTAATAATAATATCTCAGAAGTTGGAATATTGCAAAAAATCAAAGCAAAGTAAACACCATAGCCTTAAATGCTGCTGAAGGAAAGTAGCGAAGAAATTGGCGTTTTGTTGGATGGAGGAGGATTTTGTTCTCGTGAGAACTCCGAAAACTCCGCAACACATTTATTGACGTAGCATCCACCTTTGCAATTTCAGCCAACGTCCAGCTCGTTGTCTCGCTACTTGTTATGGATATTACACCGATTTCGCGAACTCTTCGTGCCCTTAATTTTTACGAGTACTGCTTGGAATGTTCCGCAAGTCATGCTACACCAAGGATTAGCCAGAAGATGGGCGAGGGCACGCTCTCTCAATTCACGGTGCAACGGCGCTTCACTCTGCTCAGCGTTGACTTTTTTTATTTGAAGATGATCCACACTCCAACCACCCCGTGACTGGCAATCACGATGCTCTACCTGACGGAATCTGGATAGAGTATCGATCATTTGCTAGAGCAATTCCGATGCGACAAGGAGACAGCACTGTGGCATCTCCAAAGACTTGTAAAGATCCGGAAATATAGTTTAAATTCCACATGTCTTGAGCCCGTATCAGCCCCAAGCACGATCGGCTTGCTATGGATTCTTCGACTGACCATCCATCACATTTGCTGAGGATCAGTAGAGGGTACAGTGTGCTAAAAAACAAACAAGCGGCGACAGTCCTGCTTAAAGGAAGCGATTACGATAAGGAATTTTCGCATCGGGGAGAACCTGCGCCACACGGAGCAATTACTTGGCTGCCAAGGAAGCGATGTGTGGCCCTCCCACGGCGAAAGGTGCTGTGGTTGCTGAGCAGGACCCGCGTGACGCTCCGCCCCCAGTGACGTGACGCCCACTAGTTTTGTTGATGATCTGGATGGACTGTTTGCTGTTGGCTTTTCATTTTGGATGATCATTTCCCTTCTAGCGGCTGTATCTTCCAACTTGCCCACGTATTGCCTTATCAATCAAAACACTATGCTTGTTGGCATGATGGCGGCTATCGGGGTTAACACGTCCGAACAACGTCGTTCTTTACCGTCGCTCATCCATGGTCGAAAATGAAAGGGCAATCAAAGGGGTACTATTTTGCTTATTTTTGACGGATTTCTTTGCTTTTTTCGCCATTGGCGTACTATTGAGACCCTCACGTCCCCTCTAAACCCTGTGAGATCTATCGTAATCGCTTCCTTTAAACGTTTTGGGAGTTCTTAGTGTTAGTGCTAAAGTGCTACCTCGTCCAAGTATGGTCTTTTCGGATTTTTGGTGGAACATGAGAGGAGATGAGCTCTGGAAACCCCTACGCGTAGATGTTGAAGTCAACGCGGAAGTCGATTGCCAACAGGCTGAATACAGCGCCTTCAATACGAAAGAGAAGCAATGCAAAGTTTCCTTTCCTAATGAAACCGTTGATCACCTATTGCTAAGAAAAGTCAGGAAAATTTTAGGCCTCTCAGACGAAGAGTTCTTCCGTATCCGCCTCATAAACCTGACCTCGTGCCAAAGGATGCCCACTTGCTACCTTCTCCAGACCACCTCCCAAAGAAGAAATCTCATCCTAAGCACCATGATGTCAAAATCATATTTGGTCTTTCTTCGACTAACATTCAGTGGAGTTCTACAGGAAAATCAATTGCGAGGGCAGCTTTCTGTTGCGTTGGCGATGTTGCGATATTGAATAAGGTGTCGTATTATGCCGCATGAATGGGACAAAAATATAACAAAAATATCAAAATCAAAATTGAGCCAGTTTGTTGCAAGACTTATGGACCGATCTAGTTCTCCCTCTCAGTACTATCTTGAGGTTGATCAACACCTCGGCAGCAGGAAATCCGGAAAAATATTTTTCACTTGAGAACCAAGGTGGATAAAAAGCGGGTCTCGTACACAGATACATACATTAAAGGAGGAATTCACGATTAGAATGAAGGTCGAAGAAAGGGAAACTGACCTAGTTGAGGGACCCACGGACCTCCTGAGGGTGCGAACTGACGCGCAATTCGCATGGAAAAATTTGACCTCGGCGACCTATCATGCCTCAAAGCTGGCGGGTCCGGCGATCTCCGCCCACCGATCATCTGATCACTCGCCGTAGTTCAATACGTGGCGAGTGATTAGATAGCTGAGAGAGCGTAGTGTTGAAGAGGGCACAGCGATGAGAGTCGCATCAATGCTCAAATCAACGGGCAAGGAAGGGGTCCATTTCTCGGGTTCTGGGCCGTTTCTCATGGTTCTTCCTTCTTTCGTGTACCACTCACCATCCCTAGGTTAATTTGAAATGGGTTGCTTTTTCATCGTGAATTCGTCCTTTAAACCATATTCATACGTAATAAATCTTCGCACAAATATAAGTCCACTTGAAAAATTCTCGAGAATTCGCATGCTAGGGTATTTCTGGGAAAGCCCTCGAAAGGAAAGTGTGCAACACAAATACGATTTTGAATGCTTACACCAGCTTCCATTCCAAAAACACGTGGAATTTTTATTTTCATTTTTTAGAAAAGGGCCACTTTGCCGATTGTGCAAAAATATAAATCCACCCCATGTTTCTCGGTTGAACTTCATTGTTATTTGGCGTAACTGTCAGGTTGTTTCCACTTCCTCTTTCTTAGGTGATGACGGAAGTAACACCGCTGTCGGACTCAGAAAAAAGGCGAAATCTGCAAAAGAGTGGGGAGATTTGCCATGCAGTCAAATCGCGCGTGATTTGAGCCCCGTTTATGTGGTTGTTGAGCATTTCGTCAAGAATCCTGCATGTGGAATCCAGAAGAGCACTGAACCCTTTTCTTCGCGTTTCGGTTGCGATAACCGTCGCGTTATAATGAAAGCAGCCGATTCTCCCAAAAGGTGCTCAGAAATCGAGCTTTCGAGGGAACCTAATTTCTCAAAAGACAGCGTTTGGCGCGTGTTAGAGAAATTCCGAGACCGTCGTTCGACAAAAAAATGAGTAGGGCACTTCCGAAGACAACACGAAAGCATCGCAAAAATCAAGCGAAATTTCCCAAAAGCTGTGGTCGAAATGGCCGAGGTCACCTCACACATCCCTTTTCCGCCCATCTTCAGCTCTCTTATCCTCCTCCTTTTCCACTATGTGTTTTCTCTCCGCCAAATACACTTACAGAAAAAAATCTGAGGGAAATTCAGACAGACAGTAGAAAAGTAGCGTGTAGAAAGCCGAACTTAATGCAGCTGGCGCAGCATGCACACATTATGGAAGAGTTGGCTTGATTTTTGCGGATGATTTGTGTCTTCAAATGTGCCTACTCATTTTCCGTCGAAGAGTGGTCTCAGAGTTTCTCTAGCACACGCCAAAGGTTGCCTTTCGAGAAATTAAGTACTTTTTGAAGGATGAATTCTTGAGCACCCTATGGCAAATTTTTTGGTCTCACCACCGAAAAGGTTTATTCCTTTTT